CAATAATAAAACCCATCAAACTAACTAAGAGACAATGTAAATGTTTTGTCTTGAATTTTTTATGTCTAGTTGGTTGTTTCACACCAGTTGTGATGGCGGGGAGGCTTTGCAACAAAGAAAAAAATAGTAGAAAGACTCGTGAAGAAAAGAGAAAGATATTTTTAGTGTTTTGGTGGAGAATTAAACAATGTTTTGGGTGATTGGAAGCTGATTTTTATTAGGGTTTTTGGTTTCTAGAGTTTTTTTGACCATGGAGAAAACGAGGGGGAGATTATATATATATTGTAATCGCAACTCAGCCGTGATTTTATTAGATAACTACTATTCTGAATTGTGATCGTTAAAAAACTGCTATTCATAATCACATTAAGCCGTGATTCAAAGTCATAATTTTTATTTAATTTGTTATTCTGAATAACTATTATTTAACAACTATACAAAACAAAATTGATTTTGAAACTATATAATTTCCTTGAAATTTTTCAAAATTGTATCATTTTCTAATTACTTTCTTCAAATTGTGTCGTTTTTCAAAAAAACTGAATTACTTGCCCGTTGCATTTCGCTTATGGAGAGGCCAGTTGGAGACATTATTATGTCTGCCAACGTTTGTTTCTTTTCTTTTCTTTCCTGCTTTAATTATTATGTACGCCAATGCTTATTTGTTTTCTTTCTTCTCTTTTTTGCTTTTTCATTATTATGTCTGCCAATGCTGTTTTCTTTTCTTTTCTTTCCTCCTCTTCTTTTCTTATCTTATCTTATCTTTTTTTTTTTCCTTTCTTTTTGTACTGTTAAAATGGCTTGGAAAGGAATGAATGGGATTCTGAAGACGGATTAGACAAATTATTATCATGTTCGTCTACAAATATCTAATGGAAAGTTAAGGCTCTAGGATCCTTTAGGTTTTTTTATTTATTTTTTATTAATATAGATGACCAGATTAGTTTACCCATATTTTGATTAATTTAATAAATTTTAAAATAAAAATTATATAAATTTTTAATAATTTTAAAATTTATAAAACTCAAACTAATAACTTTTTTAAAAAATTTAAAATTTAAAAAATTATATTATATTTTTTATATTCGTCCCACATTATTCCAAGTTGATTAGATGGCCCTCCAAATGTATTTCGTTACAAGGACAACTTTTTTCTCCCAGTGTGGAAAGTAAAGCCTTTGATTTAAGCATTTCTCTGTCAGTGTGGAAAGCAAAGCCCAGTACATACAATATTTTCTTCATTATATTCTTTTTTGGTTTAATTTTTTTAGATTAATATGGATATTTAGACTAGTTTATATATATTATGATTAATTCTATAGATTTTAATGTTAATAATTATATAAATTTTTAATAATCATCATATAAACAATAAAAAATTTCAACCTACAATTATAAAAAAAATAAATTTTTTATTTTCAAGTTCTTATCACTTATCATAACTTAAATGGTTTAATTTGATTTTTTCATACGACTATGAGTTTTGGTCTAGATAGATGTGGTAGGGTTTTTTCATTTGAAAAAGTAATGTAACATGGACGTCATGAGTGTATAATAGTCCATCTTCTTCTTTTTTTAATGTTTGAAAAAACAAAATAATTCTTATAACCCGGTATTCTGCTTGTGTTTGAAATATAAATTTAATTTAATTATTTTTATTTTTATTTTTTATACAACTGTTTAAAATTCTTGAGTCATGAATTTTTAATTAAAACTTGTTTTTTAAATCATTATATGTTTTAATTTAAAAATAATGTATCTGATATAAGAAAAATATTTTTATCAAAACAATAAAAAAAAAATACATGAATAAGGAATATTACACCTTTTAGTCTTTATTCAAAAAACATGTTACTGATAAAAAAAAATATTTTGTTAAAAAATACATGACTAAGAAAAAGGAATTTTGGCTAAAAAAGTGCACTTTTTTCAGAAATTAAATAATTCTTTTTTAATCATCAAATAAAAAATAATTTCCCTGATAACGAATATGTATATTTAAATATCAAATTAAATATTTATATTTTTATCTTGTTCATGCACCCCGCGAATTGATTGAGTCAACAAGTTGATATTGCCTCGATATCTAAATATATATATTTTTTCTATCATGGAATGTCATCGTATGAGGATGTACAGAAAAAAAATATAGTGTTTGATTTTTTTAGGTATAGTTTGGTTTGTTTAAAATGCTAAAAATAATCTAATTTTTAACTAGAAAAAAATAGCCAAGGAATCAAGGATAATGTGATTTTTTTTTCATCATGTTGCTATTTGGATAAAATGTAATAATAAAAATTTCTACTATACTAGGTTAAATTTACTTCATTAATTTAATTATCTTTTTATATAGACTAATAAAACAAAGATAAGAAGTTATTCTTTTTTGTTATCTCCTCTTATAGATATACTTAGGTCATGTTTATTTCTTGAAAAGTGATTTTCAGAAAATTATTTTTCTAAAAAAGTTGGTAAATGTAAATGAAAAACACTTTTCAATCAAAGAAAACTTTGACTTGGTTTCCAAAAAATTATTTTTCTGAAAGAATTTGAGCAGAAAACACTTTTTAAAAGTTGTGAAAAATAATCTAGGGTCGGTTTTCCTTGTACTTGCCAGCAAGTAACTTGAATTGCATAGCTACCCTTAGTGTGTCACTTTTGTTTTTTAATCCAAGGTTTGATGCGTGATAATTATTTCTGTATAGTTTGCGCGTAGTGGTTACTTATTTTGACCATGCTCTTGTTTTGGTGCTCTATTCTCTACCTTAAAAACGCTCCCTTTCTCTTTAAAATCTTGAAATCTAAGTTCGAGTTTTAGTGCTGTTTTAATTCCATTCAAAATACCAAATGGGAAGGTGATGAGAGAAGAAAAAGGAGAAAGGAAAGATGAAAAGATAAAGGAAGAGAGGTAATCATGATCCTGAAACCAACGCCCATGTATGAATAAAGAGAACCTAGCAAGACCGCAGAAGGAAAGGAAATTGCAAAACCCATGAATAGTGTGCACCTGCAAGCAATCATTCCAGACAGCAGCCAGATAGAAAATGTCAATTTTCAGCTTAATCAAGCATACAGCTCGATCCCTCACTAGTTGACATAAATCTAATATTACCACTATATATATAAGGCTTCCCTTTAGACCCCATGAATACGCTGTTGATGATATATATATATATGATGCTTTCATAGCCATGTTTTATTTTTTTTATAATCTTCATGCAGGTAACCAAATTGACAAGCTCAGCCTTTTCTTTAGGTTGTTTGTAATTGATCATTTGGGCTTTGTAGATATGGATTGTGGAATAGTGGAGAAGAAGATGCGCTGGCTTTTGCAATTTTTTTCACACAGCCAGATGGAATCCTACTGGATGACTTTTTCTCAACTTGATAGTTTAGTACTGTTTGAATTATTTATTCTATGTACTATATATATAAGGCTTCGTATTAAACTTCTCTGAGCATAGTGAAGCCGGTGGTGATTTTTAATATATACCCACAACTAGAAAATCGAAGAATGTCATTGAAAATACTGGTGAATTTTTTCTGTTGATATTTTATAATGATATTTAATGATTAAATTTTTTTTATTGCTAACTAATACCAATAAAAATATATCAGCATTATATTTTAAAAGAAACCAGTCAAAATAAAAGAAATAAAAAAAAACCAAAAAATATAATGACATATATAAAAGTATTTACAGACATTGTTATAGACATTGTTATAGTTAATTTTATTGACAGATTGAAAAAAACTCAAAAAATATAATGATGTGTTACTTATACTGAGATAATTACTAATAAATTGATACATAAAATAATTTCATCAGTAATATTTTAATACATGATCCGGCAATGAACTCTTCTTTCTCTTCTCTTCTTTCCTTTTCTTTTTAAAAAAGCATATACATTAAAATAAACAGCCACTTATATCAACAAGTTGTAGATGATAAACAAAATAATTTTATTGGTAATATTTAATACATGATCTAGTGATCAATTCTTTTCTTCTCCTTTTTTTTTCTAAAGAAAACACGTGAAACAAAACAAATAACCCTCATCTCAACACAACTATAATATAGTGATCAATTATCTTCGCCTCTTTTATTTTTTTTTGTCTAAAAAAAACATGTGAAACAAAACATATAACCCTCTTTTCAACACAACTTATCATTTAATAATCTTTTCAGTCACAATGATACTATGAGTAAAAATATTTATATTTTTTTAATTGAAATTTAATTATGAATTTTTTATTTTAAATAAACAATTTTTTTTTAAAAAAAAGTTGAATATATTTTTAAAATGTTAGGAAACAAATAATTAATATAGATGAAAACAATATAAAAAAATAACAAATACAAAAAAAAAACTAAAATTATATAAAAAATGATCATGAACAAAAACTTTAATTCAAAATACAAGTGAAATTTATGATTTCTCAATTAAATTTCAAAACTGACCTACATAAACCAGTAATCCTAAAAATAAAGTAAATAATAAAAATCTTAAATAAACTAGAAAATAAAATAAAAAAAACTAAAAATAACCGTGCTTAAAACTATAGAATTTATTACAAAGTATTTTTTAGTAAAAAATATATTAAAAAAATATTTTTAATATTAATATATAAAGCAATCTGAAAATATAATATTGTTTTTTAAAAAATAATTTTTATAAAAAACATAATTTAAACTGTTTTTCCAACACTATTTTAAACTTAATAGAAAAGTATAAAAGTGTTTTGACCAGGCTATCAACGTAATCCAGTTATCGCAAACGCTAACCAGCTGCGTGAAAGCTCAAATTTTTTCTTCATAATTTTGATTAAAAGTTTAACAAGTGATGGGAGCATTCATCTTTTTTTTGACAAGTCTCTTACCGAGTGATGCAATGTAAAGCCTCTATTATTGTTTGATAGCATATGATTATGATTGGCTTATAAGTCCCAAATTTAAAAAAAAAAAAAATGTTAGGTAAACACTATAGATTGTTATGATGATTGGCTTATAAGTCCCAAATTAAAAAACAAATGTTAGGTAAACACTATAGATTGTTAACGGTTTCAATGTGGATTTAAGCAGTATTTATTGTGAGAAACTTCGTTTAATTTCATAAAATTCAATGCATTTTGCTTCTCATCTCATGCTGTGTGAATGAACACAAGGAAATTTTAAATCCAACACCTTTTTGTGAACAAAAGTGAGAGGGGAGAGAAGAACATGATAGGCAAGAGAAGAAGGGGAGAAGGGAGGTACATCAGGAAAGGGTAAGTTATAGAGAGGAGGCATATCTGTTGAATCGCTGGTTGGAGAGATGGTGGTGCTGGCGGTGTTCGATCCACATCCTTTTTCTAACCCGCACCAACAAAAGAAAGAGAAGAGATGGAGGCGCTGGGTAGATAAAAGGAAAATAAGAGAAGGGAGCCACGTCTAAGAAGAAAATGGTGCAGAGAGAGGACTTACCCTCGCGTCGTCGTCGATGATGGCCTTGCCTGCGATGCTTCTATGCTGGAGCGGGGGATGTCGAGTATCAAAAAAGGCATTCCTTGTTCTAGGATTGATAATGAAAGTAACATTATTAGGATTGATAATTTTTTTCTTTGTGATCTCACAGTCGATATGCCATTCCTTTCTTTTCGTACCCTTTTCACAAGTAATTTCCTACTAATGTTCTAGGCAAGAGCCTTCGTAGTTTTATTTTTTAAAAAATACACAGGCTTTTTTTCAGGTTGATTACATCATTTGTGTATCCTACGGTTCTTAGATTGCTGATGTTGGTTCTGGCTTCATGCCATTTCTATAAGGTATGCGAACAATGTTGCTCTTCTGGTTTGCCTTTCTTGAGCTCTCAATACATTTGATCACTGCTTTTGCTTCAAAAAGGTATGTATGTGTAGGTAGGGTTCAAGATAAGGCAGGCTTTCATTAGATTCTACAAGCTCTCTCCTCTTTGCTAGGACATGTACCTCCACACAAAATCCCCCTTTGAATTTTTCAGTTCTCTAGCAAGTTGATCTCTTCCTTGTGCTCTTTCTACGTATATACATGCCCCATTTTTCTATCATTTTTCTTTTGGTTCTTCCCTGTAATGCTGTTTGGCTCTTTGTATTTTTGTTTTTATAGCTGTAGATTATACTTCTGCGCTGTTGTGTTGATAGCTTTGTTTGGTGCTTATACATTTGCGTAGATATTGTCATGCCTTCTAGATTGTTCTAATGATTTTGATGATTTGTTATGTGTTGAGTGTGATGCTCTCTTTCAATTTGATGTTGATTGGATTCTTCACATATTAGATCATATACAACTAACTGTTTTTATGTCTTTCAATAACCTGGTAATTTGTTTTGTTTTCCAGGTTCTGTTATTCCACAGGATTTCCCAAACCTTTTGTCCAGTGATTTATGGTACTGGTTCCTTCATTTTTTTAGGAAAACAAAATCATATTCTATTTTGTTTGTCTTTGGCTTATATAATTTGTGCTCAACCAATGTGTTTGGGTTGTTTAGGTTTCCAATAATGGCTATTTATGATCTCTTGTTCCATTAAGAAGAACGTTTCAATTGTTCCTTTTCGCCTTTCCTCTTTTACTGCAGCTCCAAACAGGGCCTGTATTTGTGATGAAAATATTGCACTTGCATTCATCAGCCCTTTTGACATGATAAATCTCGTGCTTCCTTTCTCTTTTCCTCGCATAAGCACCACTCAAATCCATGTTGTTGCCCAAAGCAAAATAACTCGCATGGCAGAGCACGAGCAATTTAACTAGTTATAACTAGCACTATCTTGTGATTCTAGTCTTTTGAGATTTTCATACAGGTTCGATAGCTGATTTTTAATTGGTTTGATTGGGTCTAAGCTTTTAATATTTCGTTCAAATGAAATGCTGAGATAAAGGTTAGTTTTTCCTTGATAATTTACAAGGTGGTGTAAGTAGCTAGTAGCATCAATTGAAAATTCATGAATGAGCTTCAGAAATGGACTGTGCAAGATCGTCACAGATACACATGTTCATAATCAAAGTATACCTATCATCATTCATTTTCCAATTCAAGAACATCTCACTAAGTGACTATACGAGAAATAAGTTAAAGATAATTTATCCCTGTATCCTTTTTTTTTTCTTTTTGGTATTTCCCCCTCCCTACATGCCTCCACTACATTAGTCCTAGTACTTGAATATTTGTCATATTTTGTTTCTTCAATTAATGAAACATTGATTCATTCGTTTATATACAGATAAAGTAGGGCAATATTGTGTTGTCTTCATTCCCATCACAAGATACCGAAGTGAAAGTCGCCATGCTGCAAGAACTGGTGAGTAAAGTGAGATTGCTTATTGCACACTTCCATCCATTTAACTACACGAATAAAAGTACATGAACAAACAGGCACTTTGCCATCTAAATTTGATTTCACGCTGGCAGTCCACGCCTTCCGTGGAGGAAATTGGCCTTCGTTCTATTCAATTCAGCTACAGCATTGCTAATGTCCATCCTCTCTCTAGGAAACCTTTCAGAACAAGAGACTCCCACCTCACTAATTGAAGTCAAACACTGCAGGATTTGATCAGAACTTGCTCCCTGGTCAACTTCTCTCAAAAGTGTCGGATCCGCAACTTGAAGCACGCGGTCATGCAATGCCATTTTAACATAATTGTGAAGTCCTATTCCATCTTTGAACATGCTATCTGTAGGTCTTTTTCCTGTAATCGTCTCCAACAATAGGGTGCCATAGCTGTATACATCCCCCATAAGTTGACACCTTGCTCCCCATACCGTACTCTGCAATGAGTTTGTTTGCATGGTTAATTAATCAGGTTGTAAATAATGGAATGTGTGTCCTTCCAGAGTTTTATGGTACCTGGGGCTGCATAGCCGATTGTGACTTCTAATCCAACGGAGCTTGTCTGACTCAAGGATGACTGACTCGATGCTTCAGAAAGGAACTTCAATAATCCAAAGTCCCCGACATGAGCAGTCATATCCCCGTCAAGAAGGAACTTGCTGAGCTTAAGATCACAATGGACAATCTGCATTTCACAGTCGTTGTGCAAATAGTCGAGTGCACTAGCAACATCAACTGCAATGTTTAATCTCTGAATGAGATTCAAAGTTCTTGGCTCTGGCACTTCATGATCTGATGTATGGATTGGATGCAACCATTCTTCTAGACTTCCATTTATCATCAACTCATAAACAATCGCTTTGAATCATTACCTTGAAAATCGACTCCAGCAAATGCGCTTAAAACTTTGACAAGATTTCGGTGCCTCATGCTTAACAAGGTTGCACATTCTGTCATAAAGCTCTTGGCAGCTCCTTCACGTAGCAAGTTGAACACTTTCACAGCAACAACAACTCCATCCAAAGCGAGAACTCCTTTATACACAGACCCAAAACTACCGGAACCAATTAAATTGCCAAAAGAAAATCCATTAGTTGCTTGAAAAAGGTCCTCATAGGCTACCCTTGGGAATGGCACCTCACATGACAAATTTGAAGTGAGCTCTTCTTTTGTTTTTTTCAAGCGACAAAAAAAAAATGAGGTCATCAAGATTAATCCGATAAAGCCAATAGAAATTGTGACTCCCAATATTAGCTTGGTAGAAAATTTTGGCTTTGACTTGAAGTGCATGTGGACAGATTCAACTGAAGTATTCCTCCACAAAGATTCTTGTTCCCTGAAACTGAAACAGCACTTGCATTCTGAAAGACACCATGCACAGGCACCTCTCCTTCAAGATCATTAAATGACAGATCCAAATTCTTCAACAACATCAAGTTTCCCAAAAACTCGGGAATTTGGCCAGTCAAGTTGTTGTAAGAGAGATTAAGATCTTGAAGTGCTCTCAATGAACTCAAAGACTCAGAAATGAGGGCTTGGAAGAAGTTTCCATCCAAATACAACTGTTCCAAACTCATACAACTGCCAAGACTTTCTGGAATTTCCCCTGATAGCCTGTTTTTGGAGATGTCCAAGTATCCAAGATTCGCTAACTTACCCACTTCAGAGGGCAAGGAAACCGTCAAGTGATTTTCAGAGAGGACGAGATAGGTTGACAGGGATGAAATGCTAATGACCTCTTTCGGTATGGGACCGCTCAGATTATTATGGGAGATAGCCAAGAGCACCAAGTTCCGGCAGTTTCCAAGACTTGGCGGGATGCTTCCTTGTAAACTATTTTGATCGAAATCAATTTGCATGAAAGAGTTAATGTTGCCTAAAGATGCAGGTTTGCTCCCTGATAATTTGTTTTCATTAAGAAACAAATCAACTAAATTTTGCAATTTACCAATAGAATTTGGTACACTGCCAGTCAATTGATTTACCTCAAAACCCAGAGCTTCCAAGCTTATGAGATATCCAATGCCGTCAGGAATGCTTCCTCGTATTAGATTGCCTCCAAAAGTCATCTCCTTGAGCTTTGTTGAGAAGTTGCTAATTATATCAGGCAGCACCCCTCCAAAATTATTGTCGTTTACGGCTAGAGATTCCAACTTGCTGCTGTTTGAGAGGGTATAGAGAATGGACAAATCATCATCCTCATCGTTTCCAAGATCATTTTCTTGTACTGTAAGCACCCTTAGATCAGGCATGTTTGCTAGTGTAAGAACTTCTCCGGTGAACTTGTTGGATGTAAGATAAATATGAGTAATTTTTTAAGCTTTTGAGAGCGTTTGTGGAATCAATCCACTGAGTTGATTACCGTGAACGGCAAGAAATTCAAGATTTGGAAGAGTTAGGCCTATGTTTGGAAGAAGTGTACCATGAAATTGGTTATAAGGCAGAGAGAAACGAATGAGAGAAGATTAATTATACAGGGAGGGAGGGATTGTACCACTCAGATGATTTGAGCCGAGGGCAAAGAAGTTCAATCTTCTCAATTTCCCAATAACACTGGGAACACCCCCTTGCAAATTATTCTTTGTTCCAACAATTTTAACAATAGATGAAAAGTGGTATCTTGCCATCTAAATTGTTATTTCTAAAAACAAATACCTGCAACTTTGATAACAATCCAAGTCCTGGAGGAAGGTTGCCAGAAAGATTGTTTCCCTCGAAATTACGGCTCATGAGATTCGAACAACGAGAAATATTAACAGGGACTTCGCCACTGAAAGAGTTGTTCCCAAGGACCAACTTCTCTAGCCGAACCAAACGACCTACTTGGGGATAGAATTGCTGAAAATGTTGTTTTCCAGGCTTAGTAGCCTAAGAAAACTCAAGTATGCATGGACTCATGCTTGGCAGTTCAATTTTCAATGGGAGTCTATCTTAGAGATTTAAATGTGACGAAATGGTTTGGAGTGATCCTTCATTGATACAGCTGTATATAAAGGAATGAATGGGATTCTTAATTAGGATGGATTCTGACAAATTTTATTCTGTTCAACGAACATCATTAAGCTCGACTCCGCACACACATTAACTCCACTACGTTTGAATTGCCCCAAGAGAATGTTCATGAGAATATTCAAAGTAAATTAACGTGTAACATGGCATCGAATCGGGTTTTCAATATTCCAAGTTGATAAGATGGTTCCTTCCATTATTTTTCTCACAAAGACAACCTTTTTTTTTTTTCTCCCTCATCGTGCAAAGTAAAACCTCTTATTTAAGTCTATTACGTGACAATATTAATTTCCTCGTTATGTTTTTCACTTTATTGATATTAAAATAATTTTTTCAAATAAAGCGGTCAATCCACTAAAATTGTGATAATCTTGAGACCAATACTAGGTTATTACCGTCATGCAGAAGTCAATAAAGTAGATGGTTTAGATCTGCTGTTAGTTAAAAGAATCGAAAATATTGTAATGGTAGAGAAGAAGTGAAGGAGAATTCGTTTTAATGGAGGTAATTATGAGTTTCTGCATAAGAAAGTAATGGGCATGGGATACTCCAAATGAGAAGAAACTTCCTATAACCTATTATTTCTTTGTTAATTTTGATTTCATCATGTTCCTGCACAATTGCGAATGGACAAGATTGTTCCCAAATCGCGTGTTCAAATATACCCATCTTCATTTCCAAGTCAAGGTCAGCTAAACTGTTACATACTGCATTAGTTACTTTGTTAAGCTAGGTGTTAGTGAATATATCATGAAGTAAAAAGATTAATAATATTTAGCATTGATATTAATTAAAAAAATTATTTTTAATATTTATTTATATTTAATTAACAAATCTAATTTTTGATAATTGAAATATTTAAAGTAAAGATAAAGTTACGAGACAAAAATATTTTTTTAAAAAATTATAAAGTTGTTAAAATTATAAAATTCTTATTATATCAGATAATTGTTTCTAAATGTTCTGGTTAATATTCTATTAAAAATAAATAATAATTAGAGTGTTGAGATTGATAAATATTATGTTTCATCCTTTACTAAAGGAAGTAGTTGTTCTCACAACTTGAGGTATTAAGAATACCTTAAACAAATACGTAGACGTTTGTTATAAGACATATATACTAAATGGACTCGTATGAGAATTTTAAATAGAAAGATCACCTATGTCTATGAAAAAACTCATATGATAGTTGTAAAACTAATCATTAAACTTGAAATCACAAAATTATTTTATATAAGAAGTGTTATGCTTTGATACGACAACCTGTTGTCGTAATCAAGGGTAATAAATAATAAATATTGGGTTTAACATAAATTATATAAAGATATTTAAATAATTAAAAGATGATTCACCACCCTAAATGAATTTAGTAAAATATTTTGTCTATTCTCAAATAGTATTGATTATAAAATTCTTAGCCAATGTGAAATGAGATTTAAAAGAGTTTTAAATCTTATTCATAGAACCAATTACTATAATATTGAGAATAAAAACAATATAACAAAGTAGACAAACTCCCTGTTATAATGTCTAAATTGAAACGTTCTTTATGAATGGATAAGAATTACACTAAGAAATTTGTCACTAAAAGGTTATGTCGAACTACTTATGACTTTTTTAATATTTGGAGGATTATGACATGATGCTACACATTATACTTAATCTTCAAATATAAATCATTTACTTGCTAAATTGATAATAAACTTTATTATTTAATTCTATTTTATTGAGGATTATGATTTATATTTAGGTCAACTTATTAGTGAACCTAATAAATTACACACATAAGAACTATTTATTAGAAATTAAAATGAGATGATTAATCAAGTGTGACTTAATTGTCAATAAATTTTAGAAATTAAGGACTAGAATGCATCTAATATAAAGATTAAAATTCTAGACTTAGAAAAAATCAAGTAAGGACTTGATTGAATAAATTTCTAAAATTATTCTAAATTAATATATATATATATATATATATGATATTGTTTAAAGGAAAAATTAATAATTTTTTATTTATAAGGTTTTTAGGTTTCTTTATAAATAAAATATTATGCCTTCTATTTTTTAAGATGGGAAGAATACAATACAAAAATA